AGAAAAATGCAAAATAAAATTTCTTATTCTAATTTAAAAATACCTAAAACATATTTGTAACAAAACGAAAACCGTACAGAATGCTTCAGAAAAAAATGCAAAGTTCATCGAAATCTCAGCCCTACCTATAACCAAACCTCTTTTAAATAGATTGGTTAAATGGGAGGAGATAATATACGGGTATCTGAAGGGGCATCGATATTCTAAATAAACGAATAATTATAATAGCTAGTGCCAGCAACTTCTTGTTTGCAACTTGTATGTCGACGTGTCATTTTGCAGTGTATGTATTAGTAAAATATACAGTCGAATTTTTATCTACAAATGTTTTTGTTTGTAATTTTTTACAATAATATATTTATACTTTAAAATAAATTGATAAATTGATTAATAATATTAATATAATTAATTATCAAGTATACATTAGAAATATTATTTTAATTAATTTATGTTTATAATTAATTTAAAATACGGTTTTTATTTCTTCAAAAACAGTTTAAGTACCTACTAAATTAATTTACTGTCATAAGATTATAAGCTTTAATGATATTTATTTATATGAGTTTTTTTATATTATTTTACTAATTAAAGGTGCGATACATTTTAAACCAACTGATGTTAAACCAAATTTGTCTTAGATGGTGTAGACTACGAAAATCATACGAGTACGAATACGAACAAATAGTTGTTATATTATCATTTTAATATATATTATATAATATATTTGTCGTTAATATATTTGTCTTTCATCTTTCATACCATGATCAGAATCACATTCGAAGATAATCAATCGGTACATTTCGCGTTTCCAGTAAATGCAATCGAACCAATTTATATAAATATCTATAAATGGATACAAACTTAATATTTTACAGTGTTTTTATGAACAATATTTTTTCATTTTCATACAAAGGAAATGTGTATTGATTCAAAGAAACATTGTTGAATTGTGTTTACAAAAAGTGTAAACGTGTTTCTACATAAATACTCACATAAATCCTACACTTCGTTCAAAATTAAAATTAAATCTAATAATTGATCTATAATATGAAATTATTATATTCACGAAATATTTTTAGTTTCTATACGAGACATCAACTTGTTAGTAAAATTCTTAAACAAAATCGCATGAATAATTAAATAATATTTATTACATGTGATTCATAACGAATGCACACGTTCTACTGTAGACAAAAATGGAATAAATTATGTAAGATATAGGTATCTATTATTATTAGCTTTGCTGAATATTTCTTATATGTCTCTGTGAACGAAAAACAATTTACTCATTAAGTAGATATTTTAATAGAAATTTAACGACAACCAATTAATTTGACAAATAATATGATCGCTATGTAGATTGTAAATGCATTAATACGGATTAATTATTCCATCCATATACCATGAAATATTCACAACACAACACAATGTAGAATTATGTGATGAATGATTGTACAGTTTCCGGCACATTTGTTCCTAAAATGTGTCCACATAAAAATATTATTAAAATAAGCTATACTACCTAATTAATCGTAAATATTTTAAATATACAACAAAACGATAATTATTTCAGCAGTTTTTAGTAGTTTATCGTACAATTTTTTTTAATACTTTTTAAAACTCACAATAATGCGCTTGGTTGAAAATATATAATTGGTTTTTTTGACGATTTAAAATGTTTCTGTCTCTAGTGGGTTTCCAATGTAAAAAATGTATAATCGGCGATTTCACCAATCATAATAATTATTATTGTAATATAAAAAATAAGAATACGAATACACAGCTCTACTCGTACATACACATATATGTTCGTAATAGTATGATTTTTTTTTTTTTACTACGAATGATTATCTGTCACGACGATTTACAACTCACCTACGCATCATACAATAGTTGTGCATAACAAATCTGTACCTAAAGTAGGTAATAATTTCATTTTACAATTATTAATATAATCGTTAAATTAAAAGTTTTTGGTGAGATATTTTTTTTTTTTTTTAAATTATATTTAGCTAATTATTGTTAATTAATTATTACTCGTATATATAATGAATCATTTAATGCTGGGTAATTTATTTTTATTTTGAAAATGGTAATAAGTCCAAATTTGTAACTACATACCGTTTAGAATTTCGTTTTTTCTCTCGATGTGTTGAGTTTAGAAAAACGACTTTTTTATTTTTATTTTTTATTTTGCCTTTGTCATAAACATTACAGCAGGAAAACGTCTTGGTGCTTTAGATTATGTATTTATTAATAAATACGAGCCGTGATCAGATGTAATAGCAAAACATATTAGAGCTCTTGTTTAATCCTGTTTTTATAAATAAAAAAAAAAAAAAGAATGTCCATTCTCTTACTTATAATGTAACAATAGCATTAGCCTCAACTTCCACTGTAGTACCAAAAGAACAAGCTTAACCAAATGTTGACTAATACAAAACATATTTTTCAATAAATATCACGAGAATTATTTGAGTTGGCTGAGAAAAAATTTGTATTCCTTATTGTGTCTAAATAATTATTGTAGTAAATATCATTCGCATTGTAGTTTCGATATTTGATTTCTTCACTTTTAATTTAAATTTCTAAAAACATACCGCAGATGAGCAGATATTTTAACATCATACTTTATACTTAAACACTGTAATAAAGTAATACCGATAATGTATTAATAATCTGTAATAAAAAACGGCGTTGTATTACTTGACTGTTCGAAACGGAATTTCGCCCTGGGTCACGATAGCTTGAATAGCGTTTTAAAAACATAATAATCTTACGATATTTGATATTAATATCAATCTCGAATTAGCGCCGAGTAGAAATCGCCGCTCTCCCTTCGAACTTGGATTCTTGTACTCGTCCTGTGCTCGACATAGGGTTATACAAGAGGTATGCATCGCGTTAAAAATTATAATAATAACAATAATAATATGTAAAACACAAGTGCGCCGTATAATAATGTATTATAATAGGCGTATTAAGATATTCAACGCCGTCCGCGAGCGAGCGAGGAGTTTCGCGATCACTGGACCCTCTGCCCGTCTGGCGACCATCGTCCTTTAATTTTTTATAACATCCGGCAGCGCAACGGACACGACGAAGGACGACGCACAAACATAATAATCGCTGCCCGAAAACAATAACGAAAATAATGAACCCACGAGTAAAAACGATAAGTATCGTAAAACTATGTTTTTGATCGCGTTCGCCCTCCGCCTTCCCGCATCGCGATATTGTTGTTATGATTTCTACTATTATTATTAATATTGTTATTGTTATTTAACGGGCACGGTCGAACGTGGAGCGCACGGACGCCGCCGCGGACTCGTGCGTAACGCACCGGTGTAGGGGGCCCGTGGTATCGGTCGCACGGCGATCGGATGGACCGCGTTGATGTCGCGGTTCCGGCCGGGGCGAGTGGCAGCACGTACAGGTGTAAACGCGGCGGCGGTACGCGAGGCGGGCACGCGGGTACGCGTTGTACGCACACAAGAACACGCGTTATACATTATACACTGTATATACATTTACCGTATACCATTATACACCGCGCGCGGTATGTACATTACAATATGACGTGTAATAATAATAATAATGCCGGACTCCGCGCGGTGTACGGAAATGAAAGGGATAAGCCGCGCGGCCGGTGCGGGATTAATACGATTTTGGCAAACGGTCGGACCGGGTTCCCACGTGTCCCCGTCGGCCGTCTTCGCGGCTGGCACATGGTGTCGGTGCAACGGGAGCGGGTGCGAGGGAAAGCACCTTGGGCAGGAGGGGTGGCCAGTCTGCATTCCACCGGGCAGGTCGGCCCCGTGACCCACTTATTATCTTCTTCTCGTACGTCGTGTGCGTACACACACGCGCACACACACTCACTCGTGTATACACATACAAACACATCGCTTCGGGCTTGATCGCTTCCCCTCCCGCGGATTTTTGTAATACGTATTTTTTTTTTTTTTTTTGTTTCTTCACACACGCGCGCTCGTACATATAATTCTAAATGGAACCCCATTTTATGGGAACTGGACAGATACGCTGACGGTAAGCAAGCACGCGGAGGAGAGCTGCCGCCGCTCAGTGGTGTCGGAAGCGAAAGGAAGCCGCCGCCGACAGGGGCTAACCGAATAACTACTTCCTCCTTCTCCTCCTTTCGCAACCGCATTGTATACGTATACAGGTACGTGTGTATATGATACACATTAATATAAAAACACGCCATTTGCGTACGAAAAAATGTTATGGAAAGTAAAAAACCTGGTATTAATGATCCATTGATATTACTCACGTGCACGCGCACAAACACGCACACACGCGCGCACACACACACACACACACACGTACACACGTACACACGTACACTCTCGTCGAGACCACACGTACTCTCTACAAACGCGCACACAAGCACATCATGCACTGATTTAATCCGTTTTACGCGTACGTTATTAGCATGCCATTGATTAGCGTGTCATACATGTATTGAGAGTATCTATACTTTTACGTGTGTACACATCAAACAAACGATATCGCCGCGCGCATTCAGTCCATTAATTACTATCATTATCGTCATTTTTCTGATGAAATCGTCGATCCATAATTATCGGACGGATTTCTTGTTTTATTTATTTTACTTTATATTATATGGGGGGGGGGGGGGGTGTACGGTATTTCTGTTCGATTTCGATCGGAAAATCTAAAAAATATATCATGTACATAATATATTTACACCGCGACGTATTGCGTTTTGCAAAACCAGCAAGTGAACGATTAATTTATCATTTGTCATTTATCGCGTGCAGTAGATTATTTATTTCATTTATCGCGTCAAGGTTATAATCAAATTATTGCAAAGGTTTTTTTTCACTTCAACGGCAACTATGCATTTAGATGTTACGGAATGTAGTTTATTGTAAAGATAAAACTCAACATAACATTTTTTATCTTATCTTCATAAGAAACGTCGGCGGATTACTAATGTTAAATAAAAGATTAAATACACGTTTGGATAAGTACCATATATTTGTCTCGACTGATATAAATCATTTGTTATTATTATAATATAATATAATTATATATAATGGTGGTGTACTGTACTCACGGTTCATTAAGTATACACAGATACAACACTACGCTAGTAGATGATGCACTTATATAAATAATATTTCATTAAAATTCCTTTTGTCTTCGAGTACGTAAATCTCGTTTACGTCGGCAGTAGTTATGATCGTTAGTAATAAATATTCGTTTACAGTAATATTATATGTGTGACGCGGTGGCTCTATTCCGATTTGTTGTTATCGATTTCGATTTGCTGGTGGTCGTTGTGTAACATAGGGTGTTTGCTGTTGACCGTCTTCTTGTTGACGACCGCCTCGGCTTTCGTTCCGTAGTACAACGGTTTGATGGTGGGACTGCAATCGTCCTGGACCATCGGGAACGTGTATTCCAGCTGAACGCCGTACTTAGGCAGCTTGTCGTGCACGTAGCTCCGCACGTTCGCCGGCACCGTATTGTCCCTGGACAACAGTATGCTGGACAGGTAACGGGGGCTGGACGGTTTTTCGGCGCAGTGTAACAACACCGCCCACGTGTCCTTGCAATCCAGAACGTACGTATTGTAAACGCCTTCGTCTGCACAAAGACAAAACATTCTTAAGAAAAATATTTATTTTTTCGATGATCACGAAAAACGTACATCGTACACGATGACACGTCGTTATAACATGAATAATATAGATGAAAAATGGATAGGACAATATCATCGATACCGAACGCACGAGAATTCGTAGTGATAAATCGTCGGTATTTCACGGGGATCATTGCAGCTTAATAAAAATAAAAATAGGAAAAATACCTCACAGGGTCTATAACCCGTTCGAATAAAACAAATCAAACGATATTTTTTGTTCCCCGACAAATACCGTGATCCCATGCGGATTATTTCTTTAACAGGCGTCTCCTATCCATTTGTTCATTATATCCTTTATTCAAGTCCGTATTTGTGTTTCTGGACAGCAAAAATTTCTTTTCCCCAAAACTTCTTCATAAAAAAATTAAAGTAATTTTTCAATTTTTTTTCTTTTCTAAACGGGGACTAATTATAGAAGATAATAACAGAAAAAAATGAATAATTTTTATTAAATTTATTGTCACCCTTGAAATTATCCTTGGAATTATCTCCCTTTGAAAAATTGCCATTTGGAAACACTGTTAGTACCTATGCAAATAATGTGTATATGTATACGCCTTACACGGAGTTTCCTTGTGGACCCAATGACCAGGTTGTTCGAAACTAGGTATGGACCACGTAATGTTCCCAGCAAGCATCTCGTTGTCCGGATCGTCCGAGTAGCTGTACGTAAAGTCCATGGAAATTTCTGGTACGTCTGGCGACAGATTGAACGTTGACTTCATGCATCTGTATATCTCGACCTCTTCAGAACTCGCATAGTAATCGATCACGTTCCACGTTCCTTTAATCTGAACATTAACTTTATTATACAATACATACTAGTAGATATAATTATTATTATTGATTTTATTCGAGTCAGTAAAAAAAATATTAAAAACCAAAACGTATTGTCAATCGTATTATACACCTATGTATATACTCATAGTTAACGAATAAACATACATTGGCGTATTTACGAAGGAAGGGGGTCCGAAATGTTAACTTTCCTCTAAAATCCAAAAAAAAAATGTATTTTTATGGCCGAAATAAAATTTATAGTATTATTATTTAAAATAACATAATATTTATATTTACAAAATTGCAGTATAAAAAATATCTAGGAATTTAATTCAAAGGCTATAAATGACTTGCAACGTAGTTTTAAAAAACTTTCGTTCCAATTTTATTTTATATTATATGATTACTATTTATAAATATTTATGTACAGCTTGAGCGAGTTCAACGAAAGTATTTGCATTTTGTCGGTTACATACTTAAAATTCCCTGCCCTCTGTACAATTATGCCTCAGTATATATTATATACAATATAATATATTAAATATATATTAGGTAGTGTATATAACTTGATTGACCTTTGCTATCTAGCTGAACCTAGACGCACTTTTGGAATTAAATTCATTATGGTCTATTGAATGGCAATATTGATTAATCTGATATAATTTTACTTTTATATTTTAAGGTGCCCCAGTGGGCTACAAAAATCACCATTATTTTCTGTATTCTTTCTTCTTTCAGATATTATCTGAAAAACGAACATATTAGGCGCCTGATAACAAGTGCCGACGTTGACCCCAACTTTGGAAAATAATTATGTTAATTTTTTTGTGTAATAATTATAGTGTATATCATATTGTCAAATAACGTATTTTTAAACTTTATACAATTTATATATGGACTAAATGGCATTAGCCCATAAATTCAAAAAATAAAAGAAATAAATTAATATTATACTTTGTTGTAAATTATAATAGGGAGATATATTAGTTCTCCACTATAAATTTCAGATAAGAGTAAATAGATATTTTACGTTATTATTGTTGATGCAGTTCTGTTATCATAAATTCACATTTAATTATAATATAATATATAATATTATAAGTCAAATATATTTAAAACAATTTGAAGTACGCAACTGTACATATATTATGGTAATACTGTATAAGTGTATGAATATATATATATATATATATATATATATATATATACTCGTATAATACCTAGACACATGTTAATAATCGTTCTGAATATTGGCCAATATCGAATAACGCGTCCGCGATATATAATAATACAATACGTATTATACACTTGGAACATACCAATACATATTGTTTTGAGTACAATACTAAGTTATATAATAGCATATCGTATTTATCGAAGATTCGTTATTTGGTAGCGTTGCACATTATTTATACAAACAATATACTCATTTACAAAAATGTATGAGGAATTTATTGATGCACACGAAATTAATATTGTTCCGAAAATGATATTCACCAATTCTCTTGTTACAGTGATCAACTTTTTTCCATACTTAATGCAATTAATTGCAATCTAAGATCTAAACATTAGATTGCAATAATCAATAGCTTGTGAGTAAAAATAATATAATTATTTTCAGTCATAGGTATCCAACACTCATATCAAACCTAAAAGATTTATTTCCTGCTAAAGACGGCCATTTAAAATATTTTCAAACAAAATACGGATGTAAATTATGAGTGATATGATTTTAAAAAATTATTCTAATTTTTCTAAACAGTATTATAAATTTTAAAATTTGTATACAGACATTTTTTAATTTCACTATTTAAAATAGTACAGTTATAATAGTTTAATTAATAAACAAATATTATAGTTCTAATAAAAATATGTTTATTTATTTTATACATTAATTGTATTAAATATGTATACGTCTTATGAAATTAAATATGTACTAACATACGAAAAATAACAAAATTAAATGTGATTTAAAGCATTATTTTTCTTTTTAATCCTCATATATCTAATTTTTTCAATTTATACTACTAGATAGAAAATTACGTTGTGGTTATATTTTTCATGTAATAATTGAAAAATAAATAAGCAGCAAAATTTTATGTTGTCAGTTTTTACTATGGGTTAATTCCTACTGGTTTTTATTTTGAAAAAAAAAAGAATTCAGAAAGGAGTTATTTGGCTCTCTAAATCTACAGTTGCAAAATATTTGCCAAAAGTGCATAAAATTCTCGTATTTAAAATTCTTAATATTTTACACTGAACTTATAAATTATAAATAATAAGTCCTAATTAGAATTGGAATTTCAATGTACTTTGTATTATTTACCAGAGCTTTTAACGTGTTATTTGTATATATATACAAATTCATTTTATATACTTTTGAACGAAAATAACAAAGTTTATTTTGTATTTGTTGGCAATTTTTAATGATTGTTCAGATTTTTTTTTTTTTTAATTTGATAACATTATTGTCTAAATTTTCTTAGAAAATGTATGGAGTCTTAAATTAAGAAAACAAATTTTAAATTAAATTAATTTATTAATACATACTTTTATGGATTTTATAAAAACCAAAAAAATAAAAAATAAAAATAAGATCACTATTGAAATGTTTAAAATAAATTGTATTTAATTATATGTATCTTATTTTATATTCTAATTAATATTACAAAAAATTAAAAATGTTATTCATCATAATATTTTTGGAGTTAGACAACTTATGTTTTTGTCAATGTTATTACAATATAATCATAAGTATTTATTATATAAATATATATTATTGTAATAATATATCAAAAAGTTATTCATTAATCACAAATATATTTAATTATTTTTTATAAATTACAACTACCCATAATCTAGTTATGTAAAAAGCCACTAGGAGTGTTTTACGACTGCTTATTTTTTATAGGTACAGAATAATATCACATTCTTACCGAGTCCAAATCACAGTTGCTTCTAGCCTTAACTTCTGGACATTTCTCGTCATTCTTAACTAATTTATAACTCCATGTCAAGTCACTAATCCCGACAGAAAAACAAAACAAAATAATATTCACTATAAAGTTAGCCATAATAATTTTAATAAAATTCACTCGTTAAATTGCAGTCATTGTCAAAACTGGTTCAGTAACTGAACATGTCGCTGTGGTATATTTTATCTCCCGATATCCGGTATTCAAATGCGCACAATAATAGTAAATAATGTCGGGTCGATAAAAACAAATATTTATCACTGTGTCCACATACATTTTCGACATTTCATGTGCGATCAAAGTTTTCAATACACCGATAATATGTCATCATTTTCAAGAGCTCTGAAAATATACAGGTTGACCTACTTTTCCCTGCCTTAAAATGAGAACTGGAAACGAACAGGATGAAATTAATGGTATTTGTCTATGAATATTGGTGTGTGTAACATGAGTCTGTGTGTGTGTGTATGATATGTTTTCGGGAGGCCTCTTTAAAAACTGGTTCTGCATACGTTGACCATTAATTGGAATACTCGTTTAAAACACCAGGACAGCTGTAATTTTTTTTATATTAAGTTTATTTCATCTAAATTGTATTGTCCGACATCGGTAAAATACCTATTATTATTTAGTATATTAATTTCAATCGACAATATTGCACATAGATCCCAGAAATGATAACCATTCGAATGTTTGATGATGGGAGAGGCTCAAAGAAGAACAGACAACGTATACCTTGGAGAAAGCTTAGGAACGTCTCAAACATATATATGTATGTATGTATGTATGTCTGTATGTCTATATGTATGTATGTATGTATGTATGTATGTATGTATGTATATATGTATGTATGTATGTATGTATGTAAGTACGTATGTATTATATTATAAATGTGAAGTAATATTATAGCACATATAGGTATGGATAAAATTGTGTGCGACTGTATGAGAGGTCACGACAGAAATGTTTTCTCAGTTAGATTGTTACAAGGAATAATCTTATAATTTGCCATCAACGAATCAATCTCATTAAAACATTATACAATAATTTATTATAAAATCATCTAATAACTTCCCATCCAGAAATCCGACTGATACAAATTTGGCATCACATTCAATTAATACGAAAATATTGTGTTTTGTCATAGTTGTAAGTGTATAGTATGTAAAGTCAATTATTTTAATTTAAAATATCTACTAAACTTAAACATTGATATATATAAATTTGTTTTACATAAGTTTTTATGTAAGTGTTTATCATATTACATTTTATTTTTCCATTTTTTTTTTTTGTAATTTCATAATTTTATTTTTATTTTTTTTAACATAATAAGTAATTAAACTTACATACGTTAATGATGTACAGTTTATATTCAATTGGTATACTTTTATTTTTACATCATCTTTAAGAGCTTGGGTGATTAAAAATTGTCGTCTTGTCTAAAATTAATCTATATAAAATTAATATTTTCTAAACGGGTTAAGAATAATTTTGGCCAGTTATAATAAGATTAATTATTTAAAATTCACGTCAACTTTTTTATTTATATCAAATATTATAACGGTATAAAGTTTTTTTTAATGTAAGAGTAAATATTTTTCTTAAATAGGATTTAAAAGTAATGAAAAAATTTGTTTACAATTTATTTCGGGTATACAAATATAGTAATTAGTATAATCATAGTTGGTCAAATCTTCAGTCAACATTTTAATCTTTGTACTTCCAAAAATAAATAGATCTAGTCTATATGATGAAGAAATGACTAGAATTTTTATTTTTTGGTAATTAAGTACATATTTGTTCAAGTTTGTATTCAAACGCTGATTGGCAATTTAAAAAAAAAAACATTGAGTGTTAGAAGATTTCAACAACTTTTACAAGTCAAATTTCCAATTTATTTACGGAATTTATAAAGTAGAACACGCATTCTACCAGAAAAATTGTTAATCACAAAAATAAAAGAAATGTTTATAAATACTTGTAAAGTATTTTCTTTACTTTGGACCAAATTTTTCCAATTTAATATTTAAAGAACATATTAATTAGATATTTTAATTTAATTATAGTATTTTTTCAACACATTACTAACATAATATTTACACATTTTAATAAAATATACATTTCATGAGTATAGTGATAACCAAGTACTAAGATTTATAATATACTTTATTTGAATTTAACATTTTAATGTAGCTATTTATGAAAATTAAGTGTCGATTTTTTTTTAAAATATAAAAAATGTAACACAAATTATAAATTATTCATTAGTAATTTAATTCAACATATGTTTTGAATACAATAATTATTTTTAAATTTTAAAACACATAACGTATATCTGGCACACTTGATTAAGCTTTGAGTTTTTGGTGTTTAAATGTTTGTTTGATTCACAATCTTAAAAATATTTTAACATTATAAAATTTACAATATCGTATTTCGATCACATTTTTCGTAGGTGTATCGGAATATATTCTAAAAACTCTGAACTTTTTCATTGTAACGAGAGATTTGATATCCATAGTTTGAAATCAGATTGCAATAGTATTGAAATACCAGCTAAATAAATAAAAATATTAATTTTGTGGGAGAAAAATCAAATGGAATTTTAAACTCACGTATTTTTTTTTTTTTTGCAAACTTTAAATTTTTAAAATTAATTAACTAATAAATACTAGGTTTTTATTAACTATCTTAATATTTAATTTAATTATCTTTTTGATTGGAAATATTATCTAGATTATAATAATTATAATATACAATGATCGTATTAAAATATAATTTGAACAATATATGCTATACATTTACCGTATTTGAGAATTCAAAAGTACTTATTTATATCCGAAGTTAATAAAACCTATTTTAAAATGTTTAATAAAAACAATTTCATATTAAACTGTATTATTTAATAAATTCAATAATTTTTACCAATAATACTAAGAATAAAATAAAGGTTTTATATTATTTACTTTTATAATTTATTTAAACTTAAGTGTATAAAACAAAAATGAAAAATATATCCAAATTAATATATTTTTATTGAAAATTAAATAATCGTATTTAATTTAAAACTTCATAGTTATTAATTTTCAATGATCATATAACATTATTTATTTATAATAATATAAAAAATATACTATGTATGTGCAACTAGTTATGATAAATATTATTAATAATTAATAATATTAAGTCGACTAGATGATAGGTATTTTAAGGGAAGTGGCCAAACTACTATAATATTATGTCCCACTTTCTCAATGATTCTACTGAGGATGCAAGAATGTTTCAAGTAATTTGTCCTCTTTCTTTTTTACTAAAATTATATTTAAACTTAATTGCATGTTTACAGCAACTAAATAAATATTTTGCTTATACAATTATTTTAATTATAATCATATTTATTTACTATAGGTTTTACAGTTTGGAATAGTTTGTATTCAAATATAAGTCAACTTAATTACCTAATGTTAAGTACTATTAAATAATACGGGAAAAAAATATAATAAATATCATTATAAACTTAATTTATGTTTCATCGAATTATTAAATAATAATAAAAACAATAATATTGTTATCAAATTTAAAATAAAATTGAAATACACATTTAATTTTGTTGATTTATATAATGGTTTTATTTAAACATTTTAATAACATTCTCGTTATTTATTATTAAACAAAGATATAATTACTAAACAAATAACACATAATACATTAAGTAAAAACTAAGATAATATCTAAATGACATGATTATATTAACTTTTGTTCATGTATAACGATTATTATAGAATATATTCATAAGACTGATTTGAATTTAGCAACATTTTATTATAGTAATTCAATTTTAACATTCGTCAAATAAATACAAAATTGAATTATAACTTATTATTTGATTTTAAATAATATTTAATAAAATTTATAAATATTCTATTTAAAAATTATGTCCGAATGAGTTTCCATTATTTTCTAATCCGATTAATTATTCTTAATATTTTTTCGATTTAGAAGGACCTAGTTATATAAATAAATAAATTTATAACCCATAATTTAATATATAATTTATAAATAGCAATTACACAAGTATACTGTTTTCAATAACTGTGATTCTCATCTCACTCATTATTAATTTCATCCTCAATACTTACAGGTTTCCTAATATAAATAACTTTAACTTATTATAAAATATCAAACCATGCCATATAATACAAATAATTGTTAATAACTATGTTAAAAAAAAACTTACTTAATTGTAAAGCCAAAATGTACGCAAGATAAAAGCAATAAATAAAATTAAAAAAATTACTGTGATTCAATCTCACAAGGATAATCAGAAACAATTAAAATCTTCTGTGAATTAATTTGTACAATCAACTTTTTAAGTAGTGAATATATTATTTAGGTATCTATGTTAATTAATATTTATTGAAAAATTAATTCTAATCAAATTAATATCTATTGATTTGAGATTATATTCAAACACCGTATACATAAATAGGCTTGAAATAGCATTAAAGAACCTTAAAATAAATAAATTCCTGGAATAGATGTTGAAGAGGCGATAATATACTTCAAAATAATCATAGAGTAAATGTTTAGAATCAACTATCCCAAGTTTATTGTCATCGTACACCTGGAGACAGCCTTCGATGATGTTAATTGGACAAAACTTTTTAATATTATGTAAAATATTAGTATACAATAAAGATAGAAAAATTATATATAATATTTACGTCAATGAAATTGCAGTTATACAATCTAATAAGAGGTAATAACCAGGTGGAGGCTAAAATTGCTAAAGGGGTAAGACAAGGGTACAATTTATCATTCACCTAATTTATTCTATATATAGAAGAAGTCTTAGAAAAAGTAGGGAAGAAATCATTGGAAGAGTAAAAACAGAAGGAGTACCTGTGAAAATGCTGCGTTTAGCTGGTTCTATTGCTGTAATTACAGAAAAACAAGAAAACCTAACTAACATGCTCGAAAAAATTAACGAAATGCTTAACTAACACTATATTAAAATATATCAACGAAAAACTAAAATTCTTAAATGTACCAAAAAGCAGATTCATACAAATGTAGGCTTAGATGAAATGTTGCTGGAGATAGTTTAAAGTTTAACATACTTGGGAAGCAAAATCACAAGTGATGAGAAAAGTCATACAGATTAAGTATGTAGAATAGCGCAGGCCAAACAAGCCTATTATAAAAAGAGAAATAAATTATTTTAAGTAGAGTAAGTTTGGATATCAGCTATTCACCTGTAAAAATGTTTATGTGGACGGTAATCTTAATGGAGCAGAGACTTGGACTATATTGAAAGCTGAAAAAGCTAAAATAGAAACTTTTGAAGTATGGTGTTGAAGAAGAATGTGAAAAATTCTTTAGAGAGAGAAAATAGAAATGTTAAGTTGATTGAATACTCAAAAATCAATATAAAATAAGCTAAGATTAAAAAGAAAAACATGAATCAGACCAGACGCGTACACAAAAACGAATTTTGGGAGGGGTATTAGGTTGAACATTTTCATAATTATATAATTTACTAGCTGAACCCGTGCACTTCATAGCCCATATATAGAATTCGCCCGTGTGCAGTTATTGCTTTCTCTAAATGCAATTCTTAAATCAGATGTTTATTATTTACCTTCTTTCTTTTTCGATCCCCTAGCAACAAACGAATATAATACTATAAACGACATAAATTTTCAAACGAAAATAATAGCACGTAGGTGGTACAGTTAAAATTAGTTTTATAATAACTAATAGCCGACTCCTGTGCGCTTCGCAGCACCAACACAAAAATTCAATAAAAATCATTTATTTTTTCTAAATTCTTTATTATTAATCCAACACATTTGTGTAAACAATATTCTTTGTTTGTCCATTTGGGGCATACACAAATAAACAATTTGGAGTGCCAGCTCTTGAACAGGCCACGTATAATTGCCCGTGCGAAAAACACGGCTCCTCCAAATCCAAACCGCATACTTGAAGCGTTTGTCTTTGTGCCTTATTGATGGACATAGCGAATGATAGGCGCACAGGGAATTGCAACCGTTTGAATTCAAATGGCATGTCTATTGGTATCAGAAGAATACGTGGGATGAGTACAAATTCCCCATTTGCTTTGCCAGTCAATATTGTGGCTTCGATTAAATTCGGCATCAATCTTTTTACAGCTAATCTTGTGCCGTTGCACCAACACAAAAATGCAATAAAAATCATTTATTTTTTTCTAAATCTATATATATATAAAAATCGATGTACATTTTGAATAAATTTTATAGCTCAAGATCCACCGAACCGATTTCGATAAAAATTTTAGGGCATATTAAGATTGATATGTAGATGGTTTCTGTGAAGTTTGTACGCTGTGCGATATGTGGTTCTGGAGTTATGGGCTCTTAAGTGTACAATATTAATCTCGCACGGACGCACGATATTCAAAAATTATTGTTTTGCCATGGAGATATATATACACTCTATGTGGTTATTTTTTATTATTTGTTTTCGTGGCACGCGCGTCTATGGTAATATTTATTGGTTTGAGATTAAATGAGATTGATTTTTATTCAATTTTTATATATATAGATATACCACTTTTAATATATAAAAACATGTTTAATGATTTTTCTGAATTTTGGAAGGGGTTTGAATCCCTAAAACCCCCCTTGTGTACACGCCTAAAACATACACCTGATAAAAAATAGTTCTTGGACAATCACAATAATGGAGGGAAAAATTGAAAAAAACCGAGAAGAGAATGGCCTGGAACGCTATTCTTGAAGTAAGTGATGGAATATACCGGAATATGAACATACTGGGAGTTAAAGAAAAATATGACACAGAAAAATGAAGAAAGACATTATTAGATTAGACATTATTATTATTATATTATAATGCAATGTCCCTTATCTGTGCTAATGATTTGAACGTTTTTTCAGAACAAATTTATCTTTGACTGCCATCTTCAAAATAACCTTCAACGATTAGTGTCATGGGAAAAATCCTAAAACTTATTTTTAATATCCCCAAATATTCAGTAATGAACTATTATTGTATCAATTATATTTATTCCATCAATAATATCCTATTGAAAATGTCGAACTCAGTAAAGAATCTAGGTTTTAACCTTACATGGAATCTATACATTAATATGTATATCTAGATACTATTTTGTAAATCTATTAGACTGTTAGGTTAGATTAGGTTAGGTTAGGTTAGGTCAGGTCATTAATTTCGCCTCGACAGAATTTCACTTGATCACTCCATTTAAAACACTATTTTTCCTTAGTTCATCCCATTCTTAAGTACAGCAATGTACTCTGAGATCCGTCCACCCCATCTATCCGTAATATAATTGAAAGGGTCCAAAGAAAATTACTTTGTCTCGCACTTTTAAAATGAATATACCATATCCATGCAATGACTAATACCAATACGTTTTTTATCCTTAGAAAATCTTTCGATCATCGATACTCAGCAAAAATATATTCCTGTCTAACCTATTTTTGTCGAAAATCGACAGCCCTGAATCACTATCCCAAGTTTCTTTCAATTGCCTTATCCTCTATATAATATCATCTGTACCCTTATTCCATTCTCTTCTTCAAACTACTATCTTAATTCTTCAATCATCTGTCTAATGCGCATTGCCAATACCGATCCTTCTTCCTCCCTTTAACAAAAGCTTAGTTTCCTTAGTTTCTGTCTCTGCATTTCATTATCATTTATATGTTTCCTGTAACGGGCACGTCTTGTACTGTAATATAAAACAAATAAATAAATAAATAATAAAAAGGGAAAACTATTAAAATTTGTTCGCTGAAACCTTACAAAAGTAATTACTTAAATTAAAATATAATTTTTAGCAAAATGGTCTTAAATATATTAAAAAAAATAATAAAACCAATAATAAAACAATATAGGCTAATTTTTGGTTAGTTAAATATTTATCAGATTACATAAATAATAACATTAATTAAAAATAATACAGTATATAATTTCAAATAAAAGGAAAAAAAAATGTATGGATTTTAGACTTGAGAGTTCTATACATAATATATCTGGTAATATTTTTAAATAATTTAAATATAGAAAGGGGTGGAATAAGTACATTTAGTATGAAGGCATAATCGATTTAGTGAATGTGAGGCGGTTTTATAATTTTTAAATAAAGGGAGATTAAAGAGGAAAAACGATGGAGTAATAATGATATACTAATTTTAAAAAGACATTTTGTAATTGTAAACCAAGATACTGTTGATTGTGGGTCTAGAACCAATCTTTTTTTCTACCCTTAAAAGTTTGTTAATAATATGGAGTAAAGTAGATTGTTTACTGATAATTGCTTTTCAAATTTAGATAATTTATGGTCAATTTCAAATTTAACAATAACCCCCAAAATGGTTCACCACCTATCTTATACAAGTAGGTATTAGGTAATTTAAGTTTTCTTTTTACTGTTATTACTATCTGCGTACCAACGTCATAAACAAATTTTACGGCCAATCAAAAAATAAATACATTTTAAACGGTTTCTTACAAAATTAAAAAACATTTTTACATACGATTTGTGTAGTATAAGTAGGTAATGTAATTATGTCGAATATTTTCTGCAGAATTACAATGTACATATTGCTCTCTAGTCGATAAAATCCGAACTACACGTTCCTTTTTTATATTTAGTGTTTAGTAACATTCTAAATCACTAGGTAACAGCATGTTGTAGTAAGATGGCATTAGTTGGACTAGATTTATTGTTGTTGAAAAAAATTTAAATAATTAAGCCATTTATGTCAGATTGAACAAATTATAGGTAATTGTTCCAGATAGTTAACGAATATATTTATTTATAAATAGTTAAATTACTAAAATTATACATTTACTTTTCTAAAATAAATTTTTCGCTAACATGTTTAAGACTTAACTTGTTTTGTCTTTACTACATATTTAGGTTAATCCTATTCAACGTTTTGCAACATTTTTCATTTCAATCGACAAAATTAAATTTAAAAGAATAATGATGTACGTATAAAATTGAACATACCTACCATAGCAATAGTCTTAACCTACTCCTTAGAAATAGTAATGTAAATTATTTATATATTTTATTTTATATACTATGCATCATTAATACCCCAAAAATAATTGTTATATTCACTTAACAAATAAATTAAAAAACATTACATTTTTTTTTTAAACATTTTAATTTTGAAGTCACAGAATATAAAAAGATATTACAAATATAATATATTAATGTGTATTATATAAATGCAATAAAAAAACTAAAGAAAAAAATAAATTATTTAAACATATTTTTGATGCTGCAAAGTTATTTTGTGTATTGAGATACACCAAATGTTTTGTTGTATATATACATTTTTAAACCTAATCAAAATACTTTATTGATCAATATAACATAAAAATATATAAGTTTCCCAACTTATCGCAAAACAAAATATAACTGAAATGTTTAGAATTTATACAATTGGTACATTTTTAGCAAATACATGTTATTGTGGTTAAAGTTAATTTAAATACGACATATGTGTGGTCCTGATAATGAAATCAACCACTGATAAAAGTAGCTAATACTATCTTTAATATCAAATACAGTAATACATTTTAAAATAGAATAAAAAAAACAACTGAATTCGAATACTATCGAAATAAAATTCTTGTAAATTATAATAGATATTATGTTATAACAATAGTTTTGCGAATCGATAACCTAAAGATCTGAGTGTAGTTGGTCTCTGTAACTAACTTCTAACCCAACTAATCAAAATAAATAAGTATAATATTTTTAGGAATGTTAATTCTAAATCAAATTTTGAAATTATAATACGGATACAAATAATGTATAAAGTTATAAAATAAAAATATTTATTAAAAAATAACAGGTAGTAAACGTTGGTTATTTAATTCTATTTAATTTTTACATATTAAACAAGCAACTAAACATTATCTAGTTTTCAGACTTAACAAAACCTTTAAATGTGTAATGTTTAAAAAACTATACATCTCATAGCTTTATTATAATATTATTCATAACTATATTATAACTATATAGAAATAATTTCAGTGTCGTTAATTATGTTTTTTCAATGTTTTCTATAAATAAAAATTTTCTCAACATTTATCTTTATTTCAAAACTCTAACACTTTAGTATTATCTACATTTTGTAACTTAGATTGTTCAGTGGGCGTGGGTGCAGAAAAAATGAAAGAACCCACGTACTTATATCCATTGTGTTTTGTTGAAACCGTAATTAAGTACTCACATCGAGGATTCAAAGAAAATAAATCAAAATACGCCATCTAAAACAGTTTTACACATTTTAAAAATACAATGTACAAGAAAGTAATTAAATAACTTAAATAAATATGTAGTATTTCAATACATAATAATAAAACACAAATATGTATCTGCTAAAATGTATTAATTTAATACAATATTATTTTTTTTTTATCTCAGAAATTATTGATGAAATAAAGATCAATTAGGTATTACATTTCATCAAATTATTAATATAAGTCATCCAAGTTTAAGCATGTAATTAACTTACTTGAGTTTTAATTAACAATTTACTTTCATCTTCGCAATCTTTAGCGGCCCATGACAAAGTATAAAGAAATTTTTTTTCCGTCATACTAACTTGTCTCCAAGATATTCTAACATTAATTAAATTACTGCTGTCATCATATTTTACATTCACAACTTTCAGTCCCATGATTTTTTTAGAATTTAACATTTTTTTCCCTAAAATAAAAATAAAAGACACTTCTTTTAATATTAAATTATATCAATTAAAATTACTCAAACCGAAAACCAATCTTTTAATTTAAAGTAAAATACTAATAAATATTGAATGAAAAATTGTTCGAACAATTATATTATAACATCTTAATAATTATCCTCTAATATTTTATCTTACACATATAAGTATTAAAAAATTTTAACTATAAATTGTAATACAAAATACTAAGTTAAATTCATTATGTATGTATTAATAGAATGTGTTTATTTAATTCGAACATATTTCATTTAAAATTGCATAGTATATTAAATTGAAATACTTGAATCCAATAATATGAATATATTTATATAATGGTTTGACTGTACATAAAACATACATTTAAATTTTAATATATAGTTTAATTACAAGTAAAACAAAATATTTATTTTAGCTATTAGGACATTAAACTCGAATGATGAAGATAATATACTTTAATTAAAATAATTCAAATAGCTATAATATTGTATTATTTATGTATGTTAGCTAATATCTTACAAATGTTTTTATTCACCTTTAGTTTTCAGGGTTATCGAAGCCTTTTGACTCGTGAATCTTTTTCTCCCGAATTCGCTAATGGCTTGCACTTGAAGAAAATATACTGAATTTGGGTTCAGCTTTTTGATTGGAAACCTTAAAATATCCTAGTCAAAGGGAGAAAAAGTATATAAAATGTATTTTATCCGAATTAATGACGTCATCGTGCAACAATATATTAGTCGCGAAACACCTATCTTGTTACGTGGTCCATTAGGATAAGTCGAGGCCCGAGGGTAGCTCTATTGTTGTATATTGTTAAGTGTAATATTGTTCTATTTATAGTAAAGGGATGGTTAAGGAGACCGCTGTCTTTTCATTTCATTCAAACGATGCACGTTGTCTTGAGAGGTATTATAGTTTGGACATTATACGTAAGTACATTTTTAGGTAAATTTATATTTTTGTCATAACAATTTAATATCATTATTCTAATATTATTAAAGATTTATTACGTTTATTTAAAACATTTTAAATAATAGTAAATAACAGTAATTACGTCATTTAAAAGTAATACCTATTAACTTATTAAGTTATGTACTAAATATTCAAACGGAAACCAAATCATATAGCTTCATTATTTTAATACATTTTAATATCGTATTTTAAATTTAATTTGATTTTCTTTCAAAAAATAAAAAAAATAAATTAACTATAATAAATTCGTGACGTTGAAACTGAAACACATTTTAATGAAAAATAAATTATTTTGAGAAATGTTAGACAATATATATTTTTTAACTGTCTTGATTATATTTTAGGTTCATAAACTTCAACATTGATTTATAGATTGGTAACATTATTGGTTGTCATAGGTAATCAGTAAAAATTATTTACTTTTAAATTAACAGTCATATCATAGTACTACCTAATCGCAGTACTATATTAATTTAGTAGTAATAATAATATGAATAATTTCTATAAAATATAGCACCCTCCAAAGATTATCATAGTAAATTGAATTACAATTGTTCATAATAAATAATTTATATCAACATAAATACAAAATATAAAGTCTAAAACTCAAAAAGAAGCCTTATTCTGAAATTTTGATGAAAAAAAAAATGCCGTCGATGAAACTAATTTGTAAATTATGAACAAATAAACAAGTCATAAGAAAAAAAACTATTTTCAAAATATTTTTATTTTAAAATATAAACTAATATTCAAAAAAATATGATAAGTTATAACATGTAATATTTCATAAAAATACTGAATGTATACGTTTTTTAAATTATACTGGAATGTCCGGTTATATTATTCTTAATAATTTACAGAAATTCCCTGTAAACAAACTATTTCCAACTCATAATCCAAATATATGGACGTAGGTATATGATATGTACACATATTTCCATAAATCCATAAATTGTAATTTACATAAAATATGCCGTTAGACAATTATGTCACCATTAATTGGTCACTACTTCTAACGGATAAAGTTAGTCGGATATAGGAAAGATCTGTCTCCGGACACGTACTCTAAAATCGAATATTTTCCCCTTCTGTATTATCTACTATCAATAAAATACATTTAAAATGTCCTAAAAAATTACTCCTGTTCACAAATCTACAAATAACTCGTTACGCTGACATATTTTCATTGAATTTTTGTTTCAATATCACAACAAGCGCAAAGTCCACTAGGTCACCGCGTACCGTTTCAAAGATTTGCTCTTTTACCTCCACACACCGTTCTTGATAAAAATGTATTTCCGCGATGTTTCGTGGCCGCAAAACACGTCACGACGAGAACGGTGATAACAACGACGTTTTATTCTATTTTATATTCTTAATAACTGCTCTCCCAACACAAGCTTTGCTTACCGGGGTGCTTCAAAAATTGTATTTTAATTTATATATTTTGATGTGAAATCTGTGGTGTTCCAAAATAATAATAATAATAATAATAATGATGATTTCCAAGGGTTTAGCCCGTGGCGGCCGGTACTGGTGCAATTACCGCGGCGGTAGCCAAACGAATATCATGCGCGTATTTTACGAAACCAGGTTACACCACGCGGGCACAGTGCATTCTAACCGTACTTTTCAAAATATGATACCAGTGCAAGTACCACGAATCAAAACTCGGTTACACGTTGTACGATTTTACCGTAGAACGAAATCCTAGGTATACGCGCGACGCGCACGTACTCCGTGAAATGTTAGTAGGCGCTATAACATACGAAAGCGCGTAAAGTCGTGTTTGATCGAGTAACAGATACGGTACGTAGATAAAACATGATAATCAGTGCAATCGGTTTGCGCCAATAATCGAAACGTTTGTATGATAACTGTTATGAACGCCCGGAGCACGGCACGCGTTGCGCAGACTTTCGTTTCGAAATGCAGTGCGGATAATGGAAAGCGTCGGAAATAAATCGATAAAATCATTAGCCGCACGTTCGGAATTTTGGACGGGTCGCGAAGACGGACGTGTGCGCGATTACCGCGTGTCAGCCGGTGTGACGGATTCGGCGAGCACTCCGTTGTATCGCGTGCTGCGCAAACGAACGCGTCACCTCATATGGTGTTATTATTGTATTTATTTGTGTATACATTTTACAAAAATAAAGGTGTAGTATAAAAGCCGTTTGGCGTTAATAAATAAAAAATAAAAATAAAATAAAAACTATGTAAATTTAAATATTTTTTTTTAATTTAATAACTCTTTCGCTGTTTTTGATTTTAAATAATTTTTTTTTCACATGATGCGACCCTAAAAGAATTGTTGACGACCCCCCGGTTGAAAATCGCCGGTGTAACCCAGCGGAGAAAACTGCTATTCAGTGATGCGCACCCTCAGGCCCGAGCGATAATAACTATGACGATGTGGTGTGTTTTCGCAGGCGTTGGCATCGTGCGTGTCGATCGTATGTCGGTCGACGGCGGAAAGGGAATTGCGATGGGAACTGGTGTTTGACCCTACGCCGGACGAGCTGTACGAACGGTTCGAATGGTTCGACGACCAACGGCGGCAGCAGCGGCGACAGCGGACTGCGGGCAGGTGGCTGCAGCGACGCAGCAACGGCAACGGCGCGAACCCGCAAGAACTGCAGATGGCCGCGGCCGCGGCCACGGTGCAGCAGTCGAACGTCGCCATAGCGGCCGCGGCCTCGGCGGCCGACGACGTGTGCGACTGCACGCTGATGACCGACGTGGTCGAGCTGAGGGAGCACCACTATCCGAACCAGTTGCCGACGATGAGGTGCAGAGACGGACCGTGGTGCAAGAAGATCGAGTACCCCGTGCAGGTGCTGACGAACCTGACGAACGTGTACGATAGCCCGTACAGCCAGGAGAACTTGCCCAAAGAGCTGTCCGACATGGACTGGTGGTTCGTCCAGATCAACATCACCGTGGCCTGCTCTTGTCCCAAATAAACCACGCGTTTTCAACCTTCTCGTCCTCGTCATCTTCCTCGACATCCGATCACCACCACGCTCTCGCCATCACCACCGTCGACGTATTGTAGCACTGCAAGACACCGTTTTCACCGTTCTCGTATTTTCATACTCCCATACACTCGCGCTGTTACGATTATGATATTCCGATTTTTAAAACTATAAATATTATTTTATTTATTTTATATCGTTATGTTCTTCTTGTTATTATTATTACTGTACGGTTTGTCGACGGCATTCGGTATGTACACATATAGTAATACATGCGACAATTTTCAAACGCAAAACAATATTGACTGTAACGATAAGTTTAAAATACAATTTTACGAACGATACTACCCGTAATTATTATTGCGTTGTTGCGTATTGTAGAATTCTGTTTAATTATATTGATATCAATCGTGTTCAGTGTATGCGTGTGCCGAACAGGATAAAATGCATGACTTACTGCCGGGACTACGTGACTTTTGTAGTAAACGTGTGATCCGTCTCGAACGCTAACGAACACTTTATATTTTCGTACGGGCAGCATGGAACTGGCAGGCGGCTTCCACGACAATACGCATTGCTGGTATTCTTCATTGGTCCATTTCAACGATGACACCTTCAGGTTCTTGGGAGATCCGGGTGGATCGATATCTGTACACGAGATTAAAACGTTATTATACGTCGGGAAATTATTACACTGTGAAAATTATGTAATCTGTATCTTGGTGATGTTGTTCGCCCATATTTATTGCGCGCAGTTCTGATTTGATTCTTTTCTATTTTTTTCAATAAACAATTAAAAAAACAAACTTAAACACAGACAACTCTCATGGTATTAAAAATCTGGAATGACCGTTATCCAGGCATTGTAAAGAATTGAAATTTTCTGCGGTAATTACTTGTTCAGAAAAATTTTAATAGTGAAATTGAAATTTCAAATTATGAATAAAATAATATAAGAAAAATCCTGGATACCTTAAACGGAAATATTGAAATTAAAACTATCCTGTTAAAAAAAAAAAAAAATAATCAGATTTATGTAACAATGTATGGTTGATATTGCTTTTAGTTAATCAAAGTTATATAAATATTTTATCAATATTTTGAAGTAAAATTTAAATAGTTTTTTTAATTTGAAAATCCGATTTAACAAAGATAAATATAATTTTATTCGTTATAATACTCGGATTCAAGTATCCTGATTATTAGAATGACATGAAAATCCGGATATTGATGTAATCTCAATCCAAAAGTTATGTTATGTTGAATTTTCAGGGGTATAAAAAAAAACTGAAAATCTAGCTATATTGAGCATGATGCATCTTAAGACGGGACTACAATTTATCGGTACACAAGCACATGAAAAAAAATTAGTTTAATTTGTTCCTATACTACCTACTCAATTCGCTCGTTCATGTTTACCAATATACGCATAGGCATTAATCAACAACTTTAAGTATAGTAAATGAAGGCATTATTCAACGACTTTAAGTATAGTAAATGTAGTTACGAGGAAAAAAGTTACGATTTACGAATTGTTAGAGTAGCTACAAAAAAATACGGCTCGACCTGTATGCATTTACCTGCAAAATGTCATACGATCCATGGAAGTGCTTATGTCAATACGAAATAGAGTATAATGTTTCTAAAAACATATTAATATCATATCGAAATTTAGACTTACTGAAATTTTAAAGTAAAATTTTAATTTTACATAAACTCTTTTATGAGTGTGTTCATTAATAAATGTGATATAATTTTAAAAGATATTTTTGCTATTATATCGTCATTAATTTATTGAATAGTTATTACTATCAATTTTTGACTGCAACGTTTTAATATTTTACTTCTAATGTTGTACATAATTGATAATGTTAATCAGATAACTTTAGGATATAATTTAAGTATAGTAATTGTGAAATATAAATTGTTTCAACTCGCTATTTTCTAGTTGATTCTTCGAGATATTTTTTTTCGAAAAATTAAACAATTTTAATAAAAATGATAAGAGGTAACATTGGGAATGCACGGTTTCGAATCAGAGAGTATTGAAAAAGTAAATAAATTACAAATTAGTAAAAATCATGAGTATAATTTATGAACATTAAATATATTTAATATATATTTATATTTTAAATGTAACAAGGCATTTCTTTATAATATTTTGATTTGTTTATAGCTATACAATTTAGACATCTGAAACATTGCGTACATGATTTTTATCAGAGTATACTTCGCACTAGAGTGCAGTTTTAAATTATTACCAATACCAAACAGTTAACATAAAACATAATTTTATATTATTTAGATTAGAGTTCATCGATTATTTGAAATTATCATAAGATATATCTTAAGCCCGCAAGCAAAACAATTAGATATGAACATAATTTTAAACTATAATTTATACATTTGTTTTTTTTTTAAATGTAATTTAAAGCAAAATTTTATTTCATTCATTATTATACATTATTGAATACAAAAGTATGATATTTTAAACATAAAGCTTATTTTTAAAAGAATAATTTTAGAAGAATACATTAAATAATATGAAATATTATGCTAATATTTTATGATAGGAAAATTCTATATGGCCAAATAATTTAAAATATTTAAGGTTCAAAAGTGGATAAGATTTTTTTGAATTGGTTTGAATTTAGTGTAAAAATATTTTAACAGTATCGTTCTGAGTAGTTATTAAAATTACTACTTATGAACAACTATAGTTTAATAATTAGTAATTTCTTAGGTAAAATCAATATAATTTTAAAACACATTTAACGTTGTATTAAATACTAAATTCAAACAATAATAAAAAGTATGAAATAAATATGTAAAAAATGAACAAAAACTATAAAGAACAACATTAAACATTTTTATACGATTATCGTTAGTCATAAACGGATGTAACCAAAGCAATAAAAATACTTAGTTAATAATATCTGGACTTTTCATCATTATTCTACTTATAATATAAATAATAATTCATTATAATTATTAAATCAAATACCTTTAGAGTTATAAGAAATCATCAAACTATTTTATACTGGGTAAAACATCGGCATTTCACTACTGCATAATAATTATAATATACCATATCTAGAGCGTATCTGCTAATTATGTACATGTAAATTCGTCATAATGTACTTCAGCAGTTAGAGTGAATTATGTGACATGTTTTTTTTTATTTTAACTACAATAATATATATATTCTTTAATTCAAAAAAGCACTTAATATAGCATAGCATTAAATATTTTAATAAATTATTTCCTTCTTACACAATTAAATTGAATTGCTCTTTAAGTGTAGTAGTTTATCTAATATTATATTTAATATTTATGTGTAATAAACTTAAAACTACAATTACTTTTACATTATATATTTTTTTTTTTAGAAACTATAATGATTGATCGATCCTGATAAAAAATTATACAGAGATTTATTGTTAACAGTACCAACAAATGGAATTTTAATTCAAAGAAGAAAAGGCACTTTATTTTATCGCTGTAATACAACAATATCTCATATATTTAAGTTACTAACCACTATATATTACTTTGTATAAAAATCAGAAAATTAATTTTATTAGACAGTAAACGTGCCTTTGGTTACCTTTTTGGTTTCTTGGCCATTTAATAATTTAGTTCAAAAATAAAAATTATTGGCACTAATATACTTATATACAGGACCGGCCTTAGAGGCGTGGCAAAGTAGAACAAATGTCTAAGACCAAAATTTCAACAACTTAGATTAACAGCAAATAATTGGAAAAATATTTCTAGAATTTATGTACTATGTATTTTTGTTTAAATAATAATCATAGTTCCCGTGTTTTATTTAACACCACTAATTAAATTTATCAGGTTTATCGGTTAAAGTATATATTATTAAGTAGATCTGCAACTATAACAATGAAAAACCATCGCATATAATGTAACATGATCGGTTGATACTAATATACTTCAATAATAAGTAATAATTAATAATGAAGTTGAAGTTTTACCTCTGGTGGTCGAGTGGTATATGAAAAAATATAACTTTTGACGAAATTTGTCAAAAAAATTTTTTATTTAGTGAAACACGGCGATGCTGATCGAGAATCATCTGATGTTATACATACTGATCAAAACGGTAAGTTTTTAGGTCTCAATGAAATTATGGCCAATATTGATACCATTATACAAGAACATCTCGTAGTAAGAAAACATGTGCATCGAATAAAAAATAAATAGACTTATGATTATTTAAGTTAACCAATTCAAGTTGATCGAATTGAACAATTAGCTAAAAAAAATTTGTCAGCAAACAGTAAAAAATATCAAAGAAAATAAAATATTTTTCTGCGATAACGGATTGCGCATCTCATTTCAGTAGAAAAAAACAACTATCAATAATTGTTCGTATTGTGCATTATAAAAATAAATCGATTAAACCTATCATAGAAGAATATTTTTTTTTATATATTTTCATGTTTTATGTACAATGGGTTTAGACTGGACAATTTAAATGAAATAGGCTAGATATAAATGATTTTCATGGGCAAACATATGACAATGGTTTCAACCTAAAAGAACCGAACCAAAATATTCAAGCCAGGGACTAAACTAAATACCCTAGAACTTTTTTTACATCTTTTACGTGTTATAACTTAAATTTATTTTTAAGAGATATTGCGAAAAGTTAATTCATGGCAGTAGGATTTTTTGGCATGATAAAAATAATATATTATGTTTTTACATTCATCTACGAAACGCTGAGATATAAAAAAAATCTATATTAATTTATAAAATAATAAATATCACAACACACAAATAATTAGAATCATCGACAAAATATCGCTGGTAAAATATCGCGTGACCAAAATATCGCAACTAAAATATCGCGAAACCATTATATCGCATGAAATAAATATTACCAGTATACATATCATCAGAATGAAATATAGCAGTAATTTAATTATAAATAAATAATATATTTTAAGCATATAAAATTGTTATATAGTAGAATTGATATAAATATTAAAAAAAAAAAAAATAATACATTATATATTATATTCATTAAATTACCTTGAAGATAATCTTCAAACTCTAAAAAAAAAAGAGGTAAAAGGTGAATACGATTAGATAAGATAAAGTTAAATGCAATATACAGATGCAATAATATTGTACGGCGGTATTATTTCTTTATGATATATTGGTTTCGCGATATTTTAGTTGCGATATTTTGGTCACACGATATTTTACCGACGATATTTTGTCGGGGTACCAAATAATTATTGTTATAAGGAAAAAATGCTTCATATAAATAATTTGCTTGGGACTCACAATACGTAACGCCGACCCAGCTTATAAATACTGTACATGTTGTTTTCATCATTAGTGCATGACCAATTGACCAACTTATGTTTTCCTTTCCTAGCCTAATCATATTATAATCTAATTAATTACTGTCAACATAAATAAGAATTTATTTTAAGCGATTAAAGTGTGTGTAGACCGTAGTTCCGTCAATGCAAATTGAGTATGACTCTAATATTAGCATGAAATATGATATCAATATTAAATACATATAATACATTTCAATGATTCAAAAAAGGTTATTCATGAAAAAAAAATCGTGAATCAAAAAAATAATCACATTAGCATCAAGTAATTGAAATTTGTAACGAATCATTAGAAAACATTTAAATACCATTTATGAATTTTACTAAATAATTTTTCATAATCCATGTGATTATAACATTTATAATGATAATTTCACTAAGTATAAATCATTTGTACATATTATACGTACTATACATAAATCATTTTGTACATAGAATACATACTACACATACAACTAAAGAAACGGGCATTCGAAAAAGGAAATATATTACTTATAGTATTCAGATTATAAAGATATAAAATCGTATACATACATGCGTAGGTAGATTTATTACCAAAACATTGACATAATGTACAAAATATGTAGAAATATGCAAAAATATTTTATAGGACCGTTAAGCAATATTAAATTCACCAAACAACAAACTTCACGTTTACAAGACCGAACAGACGATTTAAGGACTTGATTCTTAATAAATTAATACGTGTATTTAAATATATTAACATAAATATAAATAATAACGATTAAATAGTTTAATCGTTCTTTCAACTGCTTTAATTGATAGTTTAGAAATTCTATACTTGTTTGGATTCACGTGTTTATGTACAAATTGTAGACAGGAAATATTTATGATTTTATCGATTGTATGCCCTTTACATATTTTTACATAAATTATAATAATATATGGAGAATCTAGACAATTTTAAAATCTTTGTGTTTCGTTGTGAGGATCAAATTATAATATATACATAATAAAATACAACTATTAACAAATAATTATTAAACATGTATTAAAGATCGACTTAACATGTAGTCCTGTAAATAGTGCGACTTCTGATGTATTCTTATCAAGCTCAACTCAAGTAAAATTTACACCAGGCCACAATTTTAGTTAAGGAAAAAAAGTAGGAATTTGGCTGTTCACTCTTCCTGAATCCTGAGATTCTCGTTAATCGTTAAAGTTTTTTCTTTTTAATTTAAGTATCTACGAAATAAAACTGGTTGTATTGTTTGTAATTATGAATCGATGTGATCAAAATCGCTTAATAAGTGATCTCTAATCTGAAGAAGCCCTGTGCAACCTTCAACATCTCTTCTTGACTGTTCTTCTCTTTCTCTCTCCAAATTATCCTTATTCACTCATCTTCGGTTTCTCAGTTAACATACAACTAACACTAGTCTCAACTCTCGATCACCTCCTGAAACCCTTCTCCTATGATTCTCTTTATTCTTAGTTCTAGTATTGTAATCTAAGCTTTAATTTGTAATTACCCCCCACCCCATACACACACACACACACACATACACAACGATAACCCATAAATGTAACTTATTATTAAAATATGTGCTATAATTTTAATATTGATAAAGGCAACTGGGTTATGTATATTTATAAAATATAAAGTGATCTTCAATACGAATTTTGGATTTTCAATATTTTTATACATGTTGGCGTATAATGTAGAAGAGTATGAATAAATAGAAAAATGAATTATAAAAGGAATGTGGAACAGTAAAACCAGTCGTCTCTCTCTTACACGCATTTTATGTAGTAGCATTTCTTCAGATTTTCACTCGTTCTAATCGTTCTAACTGATGTCATATATTTAATAAGTATCAACAGCAATACGATGTATATTTCGATATAAGTTGTTTTAAATATTTTGATTTTTCAAAAGTTACTATCAGTACCAGTAATGTACATTTTTGCTGACACGTTTCTAAGAAACATTTTTTTTTTTTCTTTATTTATTCTCATTTAATTAGTATGTTGAGCGTCTATCATGGGCTCGAAAATTTCGATTTAAAAAAAACACTAGGGGCGGCCTCACTCAACTGTGTAACCTACACGGTTAAAATACTTGCAGCATATCGTGTCACAGAAAACCGCGGTACTAAAGAGAAGCAAAAAAAAAAAAACTCGTTCTCGTATAATATTGAAAATATTGTTCTCGCCAACTCGCGCAGACCGTCGTGTTATCTAATTGTTAACCGTGTAACGACCGTACGAGTGCATTAACAACGGTTGGCTCGGTTTACTACGACGCGTGTGCGTTGCAAGACGGTTAGACGATCGACTTCGGTGTGTGGCGCCCACGTAAACCGTGGGTTGCGGTTCGCGCGCCGCGACTTACGTCGGCCAATCGGGACGAAGAACTGCTGAGACGGTGACGAGTAGCCCCTGGTGCCGTTCTCGTTGATGGCCGCCACGCGGAACTGGAACCAACGGCCGGGCGCGTAGAGCTGCTTGAACTGTTCCCGAGTCCTGTCGGTCCTGGTCACCGTCATCCACGCCGTCATCCGCTCGGGCACGTATTCGATACCCACATGGTGCCGTTCCTGAAGCACGTACGTCACGTGCCCGGCACTCGCGATCTCCGGCGCCGGCGACGACCATTCGACCGCCAGCGCTTTTCGGCAATCCGACACAGTGACGATGTTCGGCACGTCCGGTAGACCTGTAGCGCGTACAATACAGCACCGTGATCATATTTACCGTTTAAAAGTATTTATAAATCCAAAAATTCAGTAACGTGTGCGCGAATTAAAATTAAAATATTTAAGTGGAAATTTAGTCTCCGAAAAAGTGGACGTTTAAAAAATCAAAATTATAATATTTTAAAGACAAATTTACATTAGTAAGCTAGTCACAGGCAGCAAGTAATACGAAAATCCGGCGGTGTTGCTAGGAGGAAACTGAGGGAGCTGCAGCTCTCCGACTCGGACATTTAAAGAAATTTTAAATATTATTTTTATAGTCAATGAAATTATGAAAGTCATTGCAAAACTCTTCTATTTTACCGATTTTTAATTGTTATCTTTATTTAATTAGTTTATCTTATTATTCATGGACAAAAATTTACTGGTATCTCTTAAAGTTCTAAGTTTGTAATATTTATCGATATTTCAGATGATGGAATATTAAACACAATATTATGTATTCATGTTTATTAAATAAGGTTTGGATTTATTTATAATATTTTTACATATTAAATATCATTATGGAGAAAATTAATTTCTACTCTTCCTCTAATTTTGAATATTAGTATTAAGCTGTTAATTAATTTTGATTATGCTAGTGCAAGAAAAAGGTTTTGGTACAGAAAGGAGAATAAGAATAGTTGATAATTAAGTCGAACGGAAACCTTTGGTGAATTTCAGTTGACAGAAAAAATAAATTAACTAATTAAGATGGACCGAAGAAAGAAAGCTGAAAGAGAGCTGCGTGTCCATGATAATACGACATTTGTATTATTTAGCCATTCAGGCATATTAATATTGAGTATATTTATTATTACAAACATTTTTCACCGTGAGAGTCTTTTTGGAAATAATAATGTATAATATTTTATGTTATAATATAATTTTATTGGTATAAAAGTAATCGCTTAGTGCGTATGGTACGTGATATCCTACTTATAATCTACAGGCAGTGACACAATTTGAAAAGGCTTGAGGAGTTTATTGGCCATTTCCTACCTCCTCTCTAAATAAACCTACGCATAGAAAAATTATAAACATAATATTTTTTTCAAATATCCTATTAATATTATCAAGTGTTTACATTTTTATTTTTTATTTCTATTAGTTGAACAGAATTATTTAACCATACACAAGTACTAGGACCTGGAAGTATATGGAAAGCAATGATTAGACTCTATTGTTTGAAGAGAAGAGATAAATTTACTCTTAATAATACATTTAATGATTTGGTTCTTTAGCCTATTAAAAAAAAAAAAAAAAAATCTTATTGATAATAAAACGGGGAGCGATTTTAAATGAGCATCAGTCTCCTCCACTGTCACAGTGGATTTTCAGTGAAATCCATTTACATTCATACGAATGATAAATATACATACATCGTCGATGAATACGGCGGTGGAACAATACAGTTACGCGAAAAATAATATTATTTTACAAGCTGTGCACGTGTACCTGGATGGTCGGCTCGGACGACCGGCGGCTGGCAAGTTATGCCGCAGCTGTGCCGGCAGCACTTGTACTCGGCGTGACAAAAGTCGTCGGAACTGCATTGCTCCAGACACGGCCGGTCCAACGAAGCAACGCCGTCAAGGTCGGCGACCGGACACTCGCCCGGCTTGATCCACCGTTCGTTCAGACAACGGCTATAACACTGCGCAAAAAAAAAAAAAATCATAATAAACTTTACAGTTACGTCACGAAATCCGACTAAATATGTTTTAAACTATTGTCAATGTTAATACAACTATTACAAGTCATATTATTATAATCGCGTTATTCTGCCGACTGCAGTGCCACAGTTTGGTTTTAACGTTCGCGCAAATATTATACACGTGTTTTTCAACAAGGAGCACTCAAAGTTTCAGTTGATTTGTTTTTTTTTCTCTGCGCAACAACGAATAATTATAATAAGATAGAAATGAAATTTTTATCAAAAACATTCATTTCACTTGAGTAAATGGTTTATACTTATTAAAAAAATAATAAACACCCGGCTGTATAATATTATTATACTTTAATAGTTGGTCACAAAGTGTATAAAAACGGCATTTGTCGGGCGTTTGTTGATAAATAATGTGACTGTAGAGCTCGTTTCGTTTTTCTCTTTTACGTATGCATAAAGTTCCATCGTTGTCATGAATACAAGATTCATTGATAATATATTCTCCAACAGACATATGTTTGATATTTTTACCTACATACCACAATTTATTTTGGTCGAATTATCTATCCAACGGATCTATGATAAATAAAAATCAAACTTTTCTCAAATACAATACTATTGTTTACGTATAATAGACGAAAAAATAGATGTACAATTTAATGTACGAGTAGTTAGGGCTGACGGTATTAAAAATAATTTTCGATATTACAGTTTTGATTTCAATACCGGTTTATAACGGTATACCGAAAACTGAAATTATTTGGTATACCGAAAAACCGTAATTATTCGGGGTATTAAAAAAACAAAACGATAAATAAAATCTACAAAGTACCAATATATTTAACTTCAATATCGTTTTACTAATAAACAACTATTTTTACAAGTTACTAGTAAAACAAGTGGATTTTTTTTTATCTGTCCTTACCTATAGACTATAGGTACCTTTTTTATTTATTTTTTGTCATTGTTTAACCGATGACGTTGCAGGAACTGATTTCGCAATGCTTCGGTGTCACCGAGGTACCCATAGGCTATAATACAACATAGATAAGTATTTTATATCTATATTATTGAAGCTACAGCACTGGTTTAAAACTTTAAATTTAAATAATAATCAATTTGGAGCTACGTAACCAGCTTAAATGGTAAATAGAGGTACTCGTAGGTACTCAAGTTCCACTGATGTTAAATAAATTATGTATGTGGTCACCATACGTCCCGGAAAACCGAGATTGTCATCGGTTTTGGACTTTGTGACTCAGTGTCCCGAAAAATGTTTTCGGGATGTCTATATGTCCCGACTTAGGCCTTTAGAGGAAATGTAGAATTGTTTAATTCTTAATTTCGATGATTTTACCTCAAGGTATAATTTTAATAAAAATCTAGGTATAAATATATAATAAAAACATAATTTGAAATTTACACATATAAATATATAATATATTTTATTTTACAAAAATATTTTTAAATATTATATTGCCGGCCATTAATGGTCCACTCAACAACATATTAAAAGTTATATAAAACTTAAATTATTCAATAATGTATTTGTCTTGTCCCGGTTTCACCTTTTATGGCAACCCTACGAATAATATGAACATTGATGTTTAAATATGAGTTAGTTAAACTCATATTCTTAAATTTGGAGATATGATTGAAATATAAAATTGATCATATGTATAATTATGTTAACATTGTTAGTTGATAAAGCGTCAATGAGAGAAAATTTAATACCATAAGTGGAAAAGAGAGTTTTTAACTGGGTTTTTTAGGTGGAGAGAAATGGACAGTTTATGAGGCGTTGGAAGTCATAGTAATCTCCATCACAGATTAGAGGAAAATACGTACTATTATTGAGTCCCAATTTAAATGAGTGATGTGGTAGTAGGAGGTGACCCGTGCATAATCCGGTGTGTTTGGTTATGGCAGCGCAACTCAACTTCAGGGATTGAAACCATGGTTGAATAGGGATGTTATTAAATATTGACCTATATCCAAAAACATAAGACTCTGGAAAAGAATCTCACTCCAGCTTCTACAGCTCCGGTATAGATATGCGAAGAAAAATGACTACATCAGTATAGGGACACTACAGATGATCCGTGTAAAATTGTTTGGCGGCGGAAACAGCAAACGAATCGGCGTACTCGTTGCCATTTATGCCTATATGCCCTGGAGCCTATAAAAAGGAGATAGTGAATTACCTGATTTTGAGAGATAGTTGTAATGCATGACTTTTAGAATTATTGGGAAGCTTTTTGAAAAGAAGGGGTTGTCGGCAATTGCTAAAATACTGGCTATTAGGGGTGTGGCCCAGGAAGTTAGGTGAGACCATCGTGTCTAGGGTGAATGTTAGTGCATCAAAGTTTATGTCATAAAGAGGTTGTTTGTGGAATTTGTAAATATGAGAAAAGACCGTTGAGAAAGCTTGAATCATGGATGAAAGTAACGGTGTGAATCTTCGAACGAATCTCCATTTGTTGTTAATTGAGATAAATATATCGATTGTTGGAGAGTTTGATAAATATGAGCATTTCAATATAAATTTATCAGTAATGCAACAATATCTAATTGGTAGAGGTGGACTCAACATTCAGCACAGCGGTAGGTGTTGATTTTAGCATGGGGTGGTCCTCTACCTGAACTCTTGTATTATCACATTGAATGTACTTAACTTCGTTGTACATAGGAATATAATCTGGGGCAACTTTTGAGCAGAAATTATCAAACCAATCCTCATTAGCAGCTTAGGAGGTGGGAGAGATAATTTGTCTAAATTTTTTGGCTGTGGACCAAAAGGTTGAAATAGAAGTAATAGAGTTGAGTGTGGAGTTGAATTCTCTCCATGCTGATAATTTGACGAGTTTCAATGTTCTACGAGTGATTGCGCATTGATTTTTATATATCAGAAAATCAGTAGAAATTTTAGACTGTCTAAACAACCGGAATGTAGCAAATATAGTTTTGAATGTGGCTGTGAAGTTGTTATTCCACCAGATAGAGGAAGCCCTGGCGTGGAGTGAAGTTTTAGATTTTGATATGCTTGAGTTAGCTACATTAATGGCTATATCTGTAAAAGAAGCGTACGATCATCAGAAAACTTGGGAGGAATGCAAGATTCAGCCAGAGAAGAAAATCGAACCCAATCAGGTTTGTTGAAGTTGAACTTATGAACCTATTGAACCTTGGGGACGAGGCTATCAGGTAGAACCTGAGAGTAAAGTAATCTTATTATGATGAGATAATGACATGCAGACAATCAAGGACTTCCCATTGACTCGATAAAAGAAGTTTTGGAGAGAAAACGGAAATGTTGAGGACGGTGTAAAGGATGTAATATTTGTATCTCAAATAAAATCATAATATATATTTTGCATTATTTAATGATATTTTGTTATGATATACTTATTAATAATTACTGTTAATACTTCATAAAATACATATAAAAGAAAATACTATTGATTGTTTGAGTAACAACAAAAGAAAATAAAAATTTGCAAATAAAAAAAAAAATAGATATAAGTATGTTAGTATTATTACTTAAATATATAATTTTTTAAACTAATCCCTATGAGTTTCAAATAAAGAAATTTGAGAAAAAAACTATTAATTTCCCGTATTTTTAAACGTTCTATATTATATATAGGTAATTGATTATATTTAACGTTTCATTGTATTGTTAAACATACCACACATTTCTACACAATTTATTTATATTTTAAATAATAAAAAATAATATAATTTAACAGATAATTATTTCATTACATTCGTGTGTTTTTTTCTTATCGATTTTTAGTTATAAGACAAAAATTTACTCTATTCACTACAACAAGCTATAATTTTTCACACGATAATAAAGTTTAGTTTTAGTAAAATATTCCTATTTTTCTCTTTATAATAATTATAGGTAGTGATGTATTTCATCTATCACGTCATATAATTTAATATATATATATATATATTAAGACAACCTATATTTATTTATAATTTAAATCATTAAACATTTTCAAAAACCTAAACACATTATTTTTGTTAAAAACATACAAATGTTTGTTTAATAAGACAATACATTTAAAATTTAGAAATATATTCTTATTTATACAAATATTTTGTAGTCATTATTGAGCCTAGATAAATGCTTTGTTACCGCTACCCAGACGAAGCACGAAAATATCCCCAAATCCCCAAAGCATTCAAATTATTAATTAAATATTATACATGAAAAAAAAATATAGATAAATAAACAGTATTTAACTAAAGTGTTCATTTAAGATAGACAAAGGTTATTATTTCTATCGAAATAAAATAATAGATAATTTATATTTTTATTTTGATAAATGTATCTAGATAAGTTTCAACACTGTTGATAGTACTTGTTTAGTTACTAACATAGAAAATATTCCTCCGCCTCTATTATCGGTCCAGTTTTCAATGTTTATACCATTTTATAATTTAAAATTATTATAACACATTCAGATAGTTTAAAGTGGTTTACAGATAGGTAAATCATTTTTTTTACTTATTGATCTAGTTTAGTGTAATCTTAACAAGTGTACAAATCACATTTAATAACGCTATTTGAAATAACATACATTTCATATAGATTTATAATATTGTTCACGACAATTCGTCGACAATAATATTTATGCAAAAAGTTAATATTATTCATAAAGCTACTAGGAACTTTAAGCACAAAATGGTCTTAGGTATAAAAAAAAATCAATTGGCAATGTAATTTAAGATCGTGTTGAACACAAAAAGGTGTGATTGTATATATGGTACATGGTAGAGTTATAAGCTTCTACAAACGCAAATTTAGACTATGAAATACCCCTTTCAAAGACTATAAAAGATAAGAATATGTATGAAAACATTCTCATGGTTGTTCAAAAATAATAGGACGTTTTTGAGATCGATAAAAGTTTATTTATTAGGCGTAAAAATAATATAGGTCGAATACTATAACAGAGATGGATACTTGGTAGCGTATACCATATAACTATTAAGTGTTTTAGATCTTGTGTATGTATCTGATCAACGGAATACTACCACAAAGATGAGAACTTGGTAATACATGTCGTGCAACTAATGAGTATATATTAGATCTTGTGTGTGCATCAATGGAAAATATATTATTATTAAAATATGTAAGCATATAAGAATTGGATCGACAGTTAAGTCTAATTACCAGTGAACCTGTAATAATATTTAATAACCTAACAACCATTTGATAAAAAATTACAAGTATAACTTTGTTGACCATTTCAGAGGAGCAAACGCCTAAAATGTAAAACAGATGTGATGAAGTGCAATAAGAAATGAAGAAGAAACGATATTAAAGGACACATCAGAAATTTGGTTACCAGTGTATATTGTTCTTATATTACGAATTACTGTCTATGTATCAATATTAAAATATTTAAAATTTTTTTTTTTTTTTGTATCATTGTATTATACATCATATATTATGTAAATCGATAAACTATGAGTAAACTCTATTAAACTGAATGATATACTCTTCTACAAACGAAAACAAAAGAAAGTAATAATTAAACATGAGCGGGTGGGTAATATATTATGGGCAAAGAATAGCTAAACAAGTACAAAATGATTCTTTCTTGAATTAAGTATGATATTAAATAAGTACCATAATATTTAAAAACAATAAAAAAAATCAAATTTAGTAAATCGTTTTCTAATAAAATGTATTTCTCGTAAATACAACACATGGACGTTCACTAATGCGGAGGAAAAAGAAATACAAAGAATTTATCCTCCCATCAGAAAAAAATGAATTAAATAATCATTTAAAAAATATCATTATCATTGTTATAAGGATATGAAATTGGTTTAAAAATACACGATTTATTTTGTGCTGACCATTAGAGAAGTATTTTTAATTATTCTGAACCCTGCATAATACCGTAACTGTATATATTATTCTTTACTTGATTATATTTACAACTATATAGCAGCACGCGCATTCGGACGGGAATTTTCAAATCTTTTTTTCTATTTTATCAAGTGGCAAACACGCATACCGGTGGCGAACTGGTGATTTAAACAATTATTGTCCGGTAAACGCAAATATTGTTCATGACGATTTTAGATCATATAGGATGTGTACGTACTTTGGGCTGTTCGGAGGCGATTTGACGGTAACACTTGGCAAAGCAACGCGCGTCGCGCATCGGATCGCCGTCGATAAACACACCCGCAGTGGCAACCGCAATGGTTATGATCGATAAGACGCATCGTAACAAGACGAAAAACGATCGCTCATGGTACGCCATGGCGTGCGCGCCTAACCGTGTACGTAACGCAATTATAACAACAACAACAATAGTAGCAGTGCTAATATATTCGCGTTTTACGACGTGTGTTCCGTACGTGTCTCATGTACGCGCGGTGGTGTACAAAACGCGTGGCAGCCTACCGTCCGCAACGGCGACGGATGCGTTAGCGTCGTGGAGTATTCCAGACACCACCGCCGCCGCCGCCACCGTCGACAACCATTCATCCCGCCCACCCGGTTAACATGCGTATACGCTAAAGTGCATGTGCGTGTGTGTAGAAACGGAGAGAGAAAGATAATGATAAAGAGTGAGCGAGAGAGAAAGAGAGAGAGAGAGAGAGAGAGAGAGCGCATTTGCTGAACATTCAACGGCGGCAAAGACTGAAACAGGTAGTTCTGTCTGGGATATGCATTTCTAGTTCATGGATCTGAAGAATTTTTACGGTAATACATATGTTATTCAGTTATATTGTTATACATACGTGTAAGTAAATATAATATTAGTATGCAAACTGTATAATAATAATATATAAGTGGTCAATGTAAGACCACTGCACAAGTGTTGCACCACCGCCGGCCGACTTCGGTAACGTCTGAGTCGCTTCACTCGGGGACGTGTGGTCTCGTAAAAATGGCGTTGTTCAGATTTCAAGTATTATTACTATTATTATTATTATTGCTATTATTATATTATTTGTATTTTCGTTGTAGAATATTGTCGAACGAAGAAACACGCAACGTAAACGACAAACAATGCGTTCGTGTTTACAGGTTTTTTAAAACAACCAGCAGCTGTATTTGTACAAACACGTATTTTATCTTGGGTCAAATCTCGTGTCTTTCAAAACCTTCGGACTAATGATAAAAAAAAAAAATAAAATAAATAAATAAATAGTTATGCCGAAAATTCGTGAAATATAATATACGTGTACGATATAAATCTATGTTATTATAAATAACACAAGACTCAATAAGCAAACACAGCCAAGTGCCAATTATGAATTGGGTACAAACTACAAAGTAATCATAAGAAATCTGCGTGTAAACGTTCAGATGTATTATTTCAAACATTTGCAGAGCACGCGGATTTAATAGCTAATAGGGTAACAGCAGCATGCGGCCCCAGGCCATTAAATTATTTTAAACGTTTCGGTCATTCCCTGTATACCTATTAAACAACAAAACTATAAATTTGCTTCGCCGCATTTTGTTCGCAAAATGTGGAAAAAAAACATTTTTGGTAAAAACATAAAATACTGGTTAGAATAAAAACCTTTGTAAAATTGAATTAATCACTATGCGTGAAATATGAACCGAGTCTGTACGTAAACGAAGAAAAATTAACACTTTTATTGTATAACTACGATAGGAAATAAATATTTCAATGTTAAAAATAATAGTGTTATACCATATATTAATTCAACCATTCGTGGCTATCTTGCAGTGTATTTTATTTTTTGTTCAACGCTACAATAATTATGTTGTGACAACCATTTACGGTGAATCGTACTAATCTGCTTATTAACCTCTAGATTAATTGTACAAAAAAGTAAATCAAATGATTAAAATTTAAATCATATTTTTTCTTATTTATTTTATTAAACTTTATGTGATTCTTATTTATCAAAATTTGATGGGAAAATAGTAATATTTTGAATACTGTCGATACATATGAACAAATATTTTTAAAAACATAATTTTAATTATTCCATTGCATATCGAATAATTTTCATTATTAATATACTAAATAACACGATTTGAATACATCGATTAAACATTTAAACTTTGAATACTGACTAATATTACATCACATGAGTGGTATATTTCCTATTAATTTATGAATATTATTTTTTCGCCGACCATCACCGCGAAGTGCGCTTGTATTACTCCTTTAGATGTAAGAAACAACATGAAAATAGTGAACGCATACTAGTTTTCTCCCGAAATCAAAAAGGTCAATAATTTTTATACGAATAACTTACTGACTATATACGAGTTTCCTCCCAACGTACCCTAAATTTTATCGTAAATGAAAAGGGTCTAGGAACAGTTGCAGGTAATAAATATATAAGTGGTTCCTAACATTTTTAAACTTAATGTATCTAAATAAGTTTATAGTTTCAAAGTCGTAATTTTTTACTTTTGTTATACTTAATATTTTACACGATTATACCTATACGACTGAACATTAAGATAATATACATTTTTGTGTAATGATAAGTTATAATTCAAACCAGACTATAAAGAATAATATGCGTTATCGTAAATAATCAAGTTTCGTGTAGTTGATTTTTAACACTCGTTCACATTGTAAGATTTTATTTTTATAAATTCTTAAGCAATTTTGAATTTTTGAACTAATTTTTAGAAATTTTTTAAATGAAGTGCATAACACGTTAGTAAACCTTCAACAAAAAACGCAGAACTCTACAACCAAATAAGTATAGCTTTTTTAAAGTAGACGAAAATTATAAAGTAAGTTGAACCATTATAATCCATAATAAACACTTAGATTAGCTTTGCATTAATAACTTTAATTGTATAGAGCTGTTATATATTTATGAACCACTATTTAATTCTATACGAGAGGCAACTGGTGTGAAAATTCTTGGGAGGCAACTCGTATATTATTATGAATTACCTGGTCATCGGAAGCACCTTGCGTAAATTAACCTTTTCATTTACGATAAGGATGGGAGACAATACGTATAATTTGGGAGGCAAATAGTATGCATCAAAAATAACATGATTGTCTCCGTTTGACTTGCAAAAATCGCAATATGATGGCATTCTTTAATATAAAGGAGGTGTCCTTAAAACGATTTTCCAATAAACTATTTAAAAATTTTAACGCATGTAATAAATAGGATTTTATATTTTTTGAATATACTGTTTATGGCATCAATATCAACTGAAGTTTATATAAATATCATATACAATTCACGATTGTGTTCAAATTTCTCAGGCATAAATTTATTAATATCATTGGCTTATTCTAATTTATATTTCAATTTTAAGAAAAGTACACACAATACTATAAACGTTAGTTTTAGTTTTTCCATATAGCTAAATTATAGGCTGTATATATATTTAATTTAGGTCAAGGTTAGTTGAAAATCCAAAGCAACAACAATTTATTAAAATAAAATAATTCAAATTCAGAAAATAGATCAATGATTAAAATGTTATTTCGTTTTTTATTTTTACTTTAAAATGTAGTTGACAATGAATTTTCGTGTTCAAAATGCTCCTATCAATAACTTAAATTTGAATTGAATTATAATTCAGAGTTTTACACTTTACATTTTCCTTTCATGAAGTAATTAATATATTATTAGATATCTAAAAAGAAAATATTTAAAAATTAAAGACATTAAAAAAAATCAGAATAACAAACCTCAAAAAAAATAAATAAATAAATTTAACTTTATAATGCAAACTTCTTAACAGAAGTAGAACAAACAAAAAATGTCTATACAAGAATATTTGAAACTAATGAGATCATGATTATATTCCATAAAATTGTAATTGATAATTTTTTATTTGTAAATATTATCGATTCTATGTCGAATTTTCATATTTTTAATAGTGTACGAGTATAATGTGTAATGATGTCATAATATGAAACAATTATTCAACAATCCAACAATTTAATTTTGTTGTAAATCTTAAGCTTGTAAAATTGGAAAGGAAATGTGTTAAAAAGAAAACACCTATACTTCATGGAACGCAATCGTGTTTCGTTTTATGTAATATTAAAAGGTTAACGAGCACAATTATGTTACAGCGACCCGAGATAGAAAAAATCTTACAATAGACTTATTATTTCAACTATATTATTATATTCTAACACAAATTTATTATTTAAACTATGTTTTTCCCGTATAAACATAAACATTCATGTCAATAACAAAGAGTATTAGCGCTAATTTAATTCGTTGGGAGTTCAATAAAAAAAATATTAATACGATTAAATTATTTTTATTTATACGAGTAAAATTAATTTCTTATGAAATTTGCTTAAAGAACAATGTAAGTATTTACTCAATAAATAACATATCACCACGCGTCACTATTATGAACCCTGCTGAAAATTTGATGCGGATAGGTTGATAATCGAAAACTTACAGACACTCCGAAATTAAGGCCTTGTGTTCACACATATTACATGCTTTCTATTTCGTATTCTTTCTATTTCATTGTCTAAAGCAAACATTTAGTTTACTAATATCTTACAACGTTAAAGAAGAAAAAGAGATGACCATCAGTTTTTCACCATTTAAAGCATAAACCCACTGGATAGGTATTACCATTTAAGAAATGAAAAAGTAACTGGCATTCAATGATTTGATCATAGGGAGAGGAGATATCGAGAACTAAGCACACTTATATCTAGAAGGGTGCAAGAGTTCAAATATTTAAAAACGTTACTGACACAAAAAATGATGAACTGTTCGAAATTAAATCAAGACTCAAATTCAGTAATAAATGTAACAACGGACTAAATAAGATGTTAAAGATGAAAATGATATCAAAGAACTTCAAGATATAGATTTATCATACATCTAATCGTTCAGAGATAATATACGGATGTGAAGTGTGAACATTGCGAAAATCAAAACAAAACAAACTGTTGATATTCGAAAGAAAAATATTAATGAGAATCTTCGGGCCGTGTATAAATGAAATTACGGGAGAATAGAGAACTCGATAAAATAAAGAACTTAAACAGTAGTATCAAAGACTTGATTTAATAAGGGAAACATGCATGGAGAAAATAGGAAATATTAGCGTGGATAAAAACCTTTAGAGCGACCGTGGATAAGAAAGGAAAATTAAGTCAGGAATAATATACATTATATTATAATGGTTCCAAATTTCGAATCATATGTATTGACGATGGTTAAGGCAAAGTAGCGTGACATATATTTGAATGCATGATCTAATAGTCGAATTCAAAGAAAAAGAAGATTTTGGATTTTAATATTAAATATGTTTCGTGTTCTTATAACTGAAAAATATACATGAGATATTGTAGTTTTTAACAATAATTTTATTTTATTAATTGTATTTTTGTAGTTATTGTTTAGTATTAGGTTAGATGTAGATAATCAGGGAACGAAGATTCACAAGTTCTTTTAGTTTAATGGG